TACAAAATGATACACACATACAGATAGTATAATTATAAGCGGCAAATCATAACCTTTTCATAGACACCTCACACAACAACCTCTGTACAATATTTGCTGCAAATATACAACAGTGGTTGCAATAATGATCTATAGGGTCACAGTTTATGTCAATAATGTCAAACAGGGATCACCCAATTAAATGAATTGGCAGCAAGTTTAAAAGAAACCAAAGGAAGTATTTCTTCACACAGTGCACAGTCAACCTGTGGAACTCTTTGCCAGGGGATTTTGTGAAGGGCACAATTATAACAGTGTTAAAAAAAGAATTAAATAAGACTTGGAGGTCAAGATGGTCAGGGATACAACGCCATGCTCTCGGTGTCCCTAAACCTCTGACTGCCAGAAACTGGGACTTGACGACGGGATGGATGACTCGATAAATTGCCCTGTTCTGTTCATTCCCTCTGAAGCACCTGGTATTGGCCAGTGTCAGAGACAGACTACTAGGGTAGATGGACCATTGCTCTGACCCAGTAGGGCTGTTCTTATGTTCCCTGGTAGCTCTGAGCCCCCTGCTGGGATTCACAGTGCAGCAGTATAAATATCCCTGTGTCTCAGCCCAGGTCAGTGCAGATTCCCCACTATCTGGCGCTCCCCACCCGGGTCACAGGCAGAGATTCCTCCTCCCTGGCCGGGGCAGGAGCGTGGGGAGTCGTTTGCATTGCCATGGAGGTGCAGTTGGAACAGCTGACGTCAATCCAGCGCTGAGGGGATATGAAGCCGGGACGGTGGAATAGCCCATTCCAATCTAAACAAGAGCCGGTCGGGCATTTTTTGAGGACACATTTGTTGGTGCGAAATGCCAGTGTCTCCAAAACAAACCCTTTTCACACGAACGTGTTGGTTTCCATGAAACCTTCACCCGGCAGCTTCCTCAGGATGGAACGGCTGGTGAGCGAGCGCTCCCCAAGCCTGAATTACCCATGGCAGAGCGTTCACATGGCTGTGGAAGACTTAGTTTTAAGACCAAGCTCTGTGTGATTTGGAGCAGGGATTTGACCCTAGGTCTCCACACCCCATGTGAGCGCCCAGACCGCTGGGCCGTGGGGTTCTCTCTCTCTCACAAGGTCCGCATGTTGCGGGCCGATCCCCACTGACCCAGTGCCGGATCACTCTGCAATTGTTAGGGTCCTGGGCTGGGACACAGTGGAGTCAGGCGGGCCTGCATCCCCCTACCCCCTGCTCTCCCACCCCTGGGGTGGCATTCCCCTCGGAGCAGGCCAGAAGGCCTGTGTTAGTCTAGCATCCTCCGAGTTAGGAGTCTAGACAGTGCTGGTGCTCACCTTTCACTGAGCCAATGGTCACAATCAAAAGGAAAATAAATGGTTATAAATTTGGGAGTACAAACGTGAGCCTCATGGTGGATCAGCTGGAGATGCTGGACAAAAAGAAGGTCCTGGCCATCCACCGGGAAACCACGGCCCTGCAGGAGTGGCTGAAGGCAGGGCAGGAGGAGAATGCCACCAAACAGATCACCCCCCGTCAGCATGGCCTCTATTCCTTGAATGGGAGGGGAACGGAAGGGGGATGACTTGTGGATTTCCAGCAACCACCAATGCCCACTCCCCAGAGTTCAGTCCCTTTAGCTGGAGGTGGGATGGGGAAGAAACCTCCCCACTCCTGCTCCCTGGCTGCTAGTGTCTCCCTGTGACCCTAATCACCCCATCCATAGAGGCAGAGGATGGAAGGATCCATGGAGTCCTGACAGGTTCCAAGATGTGGGGGAGCAAACATAAAAAGGCGCCCCCCGTTGGCTCCTCCTCTGTACAATATCAACACTGTTAAAGAGGGCAGAATTAGCATCAGGCTGGATAAAATGTTAAACACAGTGCAAAGAATCAACTACCAGCCCTTGGACCATAAGCTGCAGGTGGACAATGATGGCAACTTACAACTTGAGCTTCCAGCCCACCTCCCAGTGATAGCTTTCTTTGGTTTCTGTGCAAATCAGTCATGCAGAGTGATTCAGAGTGAATCCCGCA